TGCTCAATTCCTGTTCACTGCAATGGAGATGTGAGTGCGCGTGTCAAGAGGTCCTGACAAAGGGCTGTTTAAATGACAGGAAGGAGTCCACAACTCAAAGAAATGCAATTCCCAGCATTAACTCATATAACCATTTGAGTAAGTTGAAACCTTGAAGAACAATTCTTTATTTTTACGAAAGTAAAAAAACTGAGAATCTCAACACTCCTTCCAGTTTTGTACAAAATTCTCCATAAAAGACGCAATGATGGCTGAAGGAGCTAAAACGCAACGAACTCTCGGCGGCACTCTGACAAAAATCCTCAAAGATGCCATTTTTAAAATCATCTCTTTTCATTGCTCCATTCTCTCTCTGCCTATGCGATATGCGTACCATTCAATAAAAAATAATGTTGGTACGATCATCCATCGGGATCAACATGAGCACTCGGATCGTTGGTCCATCCGAAGCAAAAACTAACGGGCTACGAAGGGATCCCATTTCGTAGATTTCAGACGAACCGTCGTAGTTCCTCCTTTGCCACTGTGTCTACCATTTTTGCTTTCGTTAATAACGAGTGGCCTACTTATCGTAACATCTACCTTCGAAACAGATATTCGAAATGACTGGAATGTGTTAAATTATGAATGTATGCCTTCTATAAGTAATGTTCATCAGGCAAGGTGAGGTTCTGGAAGACCCCATTGCACAACTTTAAAAATAAATATTTTTATCTCTAATTTATTTGAATTGGCAATCATTTGATGTTAACGCGAGAGATTACGATGGGGTGCGTGTGCAAGCATGGATGTGCACATGCACCAGTGAAGCAGTAGTCAGGGGCCTAACAAGGGGGTCTTTCAGGGCAAGCCGCGCTTTTTCAAAACGGTTTTTGCATATTGTAGGGACGCATGTATGGACCACAAAACCATGTTTCGTTTTCGCTGAACGGTTTTAGTAGTACCAAAAAAGTGGTGAATAATACCTTAATGGTTCGATCCCCCGCGGCGACTAAATTTTGCAATCAAGGTTGGCGGCCAGTCAAGCTGCAAAATTAGTCGCCACGGGGGATCGAACCATTAACAGTACCTTATGCTTCTTTTTGGTACTGCTAAACCGTTCAGCGAAAATGAAACATGGTTTTGTGTTCCTACATGCGTCCCTACAATATGCAAGAAACCGTTTTGAAAAAGCGCGGCTTGCCCTGAAAGACCCTCCCTGTAAGGAAGCGAGACGTGCGCTTTCCGTGCCCAAAGGTGCCCTACATATTTCAGCGTCCTGGGCTACCAATCCTCTCTGAGCTCCGCCTCGCCGTCTGCGCTCCGCTCATTGGTGTGTTGCCAGCAGCATCTTTGGAGGAGCATCTTCGTGCAATCCTAGTAACTTCCCACGGATGAATTATCAATTAAAGCACGATCTTTGCTGGAACAACAGCGGCTGTCGGTTTAGCATGTGCAAGCGACCTCTTAATCGGTTGCAGCTCGTCCATTATCGAGGGTCAGCGGGCAAAGAAAGGGGTCCTATTTTGCGCCGGATTTCTCTGCTTTTTCGCCACTGAGGCAATACTCAGCATCCCCAGACTGTCCTCTTATGAAGTCCATCCTTCAATCTTCGATCGTGAATCGTTTCGGCTGTCGAGGATTTTAAACTGATTGAGCAGTTATAACTGGCAGTAGTTTTTTTCAAATGCAAACGAGGTGTTGTACGAAACGTTTCTCGTCTATCTTAATATTAGTCGTAGCTCTGCACTCAAGATTCTTACCACATACGCAGGACTTACCATGCTTCTTTATCATTGCTTCAATAAAGCTAGCTTATCACTTCAGTGAGAATAAAGGCATAGAAAAATGGAGCACTTCTGTTCTTTTTGTCTCTAGAAGTGTTTTCTCCAAGAACCGAACAGTGATTCTAACCTCACCAAGTCAGAACAATAGTGACATCAGTTCTTCGCCAGTGGCTTGTGGGACCAACCGATGTATCAAGTGAGTGGTTCCGCGTGATGATGAGTCCAGTGCTAACTAAGCATGACTCCGACTTTAGATTATGTTACAACTATGCAATCCTTTCTATAGTACCTAGTTGTCGTTTACCGTAGGGTATGTGCTGGTAATACTCGGAGTGAAAGAACAAGCAATAAAGCTTCATTGGTATAATTCACTCTTTCCACTGGCTTTACATATGGAGGCATACTAAGCGAAATATGTCATTTCGCTTCCGCACTTACTGGAGGCGCACAGGTTAGCGAGGTGCCTAAGACCATAATTTCCATTTTTGTTTTTCAAGCAAAGGCCACGCGCCTCGCCATTCGCGTCGCTTGTTGCACACTAACCGATAACCATGGTGGGCGGAGCTTTTTCCCTCCGCCACCATTTTACTCGGTAAGTGCAAAATGTTGTCACGTGTTGAAACTGATATCGACATTTTATTTACAACAGCAACATTTCGTGGCGATTAGAACTATGTGCAAAAAACGAAAACAACGAGTGATGTGTAGAACAGGAATTGAGGGCTGTACACTGTAGAGGTGGTGTCGTAGTAGTCGACGTAACTCACTAGCGCTAACGTTTTATAGAAACCTGAAATAACAAAAACAGTAAGGAGATGAGTTATGCTTACTTATGCTTATACAAATCATCTTCATTTCATATCTCTCACGACGCGCAATTGAAAGATTAATTCAAAGTCTATGGGATTGGCGATTTGAAAAAGCGTTCACCCGCATTCCAGATGACTTATGCTGGTGCCCGACTTTGCGAATCCAGCAAATGGCAGGGTGCGAACGACGCGTCAGCGGTTTGAACGATGCGTCAACGATTCGACAGTTTGGGAAAGTGGCGAGAGTTTCTCTCATGTGCATGTTCATTCCCCCACTTCCTCATGCTCGCATGCGCTCGCGAACTGGTAATGTGGCGAGAGTCAACTTGAATGAGAGGATTTTTCTCCACCTTTCCACACTGTCGAGTTGCTAATGCATCGTTCGAAGCGCTGACGCATCACTCGCAGCCCACGATTCGCCGAATTCGCAGTCTGACACTACCCTTACGTGACTGAAGAGCGCGGAATTCACACTGCTGGCTTTAGAGAAGGTGAGCAATCACGCGGGGCGCGAACATAAACTTTGTAGGCGGCCATAATCGAGATCTCCTGATCTACTTTGCTGCCCGTACATAGAATCATCTTTCGTAATGAAGAGGGGGAGAATATTTGGCAAGAAAAATCGCATGGGCACGCTAAGCATGGAAACTAAATTCCACTGCCGTCCCCCCTACCACCCCCCGCCAACGGACCTGATGGCCCAGTAGGTAACGGACAGCTTGAGCATTCACTGGTCCAATAGTCCTAGTGATATCAAAGTTACCGAATTTAAAAGTGATAATAGAACCTACCATACACTCCGACTACCATAGAGATCAGCGATATTGCAACATACACAAGCGCCACCATTAAACCGACAACGATTTGGAATGCGTCCTTAAAGCAAATAGGATATAAGCAGAATAAAGTTTCTTGAAAAACAGAATTTCTCATAAATCTTCGTTTTACGGGCTGGGCTCTTTTAGCATGGGTCTGACCCCTGCTCTTACCTAAAGAAGAGTTCGAATGGCGATTTGCTCTATTTGCTCGCTTCTCTAGTCTTCTTACGCCCAAATTAATGTTTCCATCCCCTTCAGAATACAAGTACTGTAGCGGTCAAAAGTGTTCGCCGAAACGATTTTAAGTGCTTCTCTTTTTTCTCGTTAAAGCAACTCCCTCCAAAAATTGATATGCTATGTTCCGTAGTGTTCTTTTTCCAAGAGAAAAAACTTTTAAGGCCATCATAGATTTTTCTGGCTGAACACTAATATTTAATACCGCCGTAAAACAAAGAGTGCGACTTTCGAAATCATCCGAAGGTTTTCGTTAGAGATTTTTGAAGAATTTTCCCGACAACTCTTCTCTCGTTGGCCCAGCATCCTAATGGAACACTAACCTTCACTCCTTTCGAGACCGCGATTGATGTTTGCATACACGTGACGAAAAATGCGGTGGCTAATAAGATTTGTAGAACACCTGAAAATTGTTAATTTCAACGGAAGATTCCACGATAAGGTCGGAAGTCAGAGAAGGGGAATATACCTAGTCGAAAGGCAGACAAGCCGCCTAACGGTGCGCGTTCGGCAGTGTGAATTATGCCCCCTGTTGCCCAGCAGGGCTATACCTGCCCAGCCCCTTGACGTTTGACAGAGCGTTAGCATTGAACAGAACTGCACCTATGAGAGTTCCATCAATGCGGAAATCAAGGGCAAGTGGGGTCCCATTTCTCGGGTTCTGGGCCGTTTCTCATGGTTTTCTTCATTCCTGCACCACTGACCACCTCTTCCTTGACTTCTAATGATGCCTTTATCTTAAAGGACGAATTCACGATGAAAAAGCAACCCATTTCAAATTAACCTAGGGATGGTGAGTGGTACACGAAAGAAGGAAGAACCATGAGAAACGGCCCAGAACCCGAGAAATGGGACCCCTTCCCTTGCCCGTTGATTTGAGCATTGATGCGACTCTCATCGCTGTGCCCTCTTCAACACTACGCTCTCTCAGCTATCTAATCACACCACGTATAGACTTGGAGTAGAATGGT